ATGCTGTACTTGTATTTTTTGAGCCTCAATGCAAGAGAAACCTGATTTTAACAAAGAATGATGACAACAGTAGACAATCATAAAGAAAGAATATAAATTGAAAAATAGAAGAAAATTATATTAAAAAATGAACAAAATCAGTTACATTATAAAGCGATACAAAATACTAAAAACAAGGACATGTCTGTGTTGGTTTTTGCCATGAACTATGTACATGCTTGAAGCCACTTAGGTCGAGAGCTTCAGATCTTTTTACAAGGTATTCCAGGAAACAGGAGCGGAGTAGGAGAAGGTCCTTTTGTCTAGTTCAGTCCTCATGAGTGAACACTGCAGGTAATAATGTCCTGAGAGCGCACGCCGTAGCTGCACTCACACAGAGACATGTAGGAGGAGATGTATGAAGGCAGCAGACCAAGAAGTGATTTAAAGATGAAAATGTACCAGTGGGAGAGTCTGCGTGAAGTTAATGGTGACCAGTTAACCAGTGAATACAGGGTGCAGTGGTGGGTACGATAATCACAGCCAGTTATGAATCTTAGTGCACCATGATAGACAGCATCCAACATCTGCAGCATCCAACATCTGCAGGGTGCTTGTAGGAGCGTTCATGTAAATAATGTCACCGTAATCAATTGAGGGAAGGAAAGTCACAGGTACAAGGTGTTTCTAACATTCAGGGTTAGACAGGATCTGTTTCTGAAAAAGAAACCCAGTTTAACTTTCAGTTTCTTTACCAAGTTTTCGACGTGGGGCTTAAAAGAGAGACGCAAATTAACCAAGATGCCAAAGTATTTGTAAGAATCGACAAACTCAATAGGAGCACCATTTGAAGATAAAATAGAAGGAAGGACTGCTGGGATGACTTCCTATTTGAAAATAACATCCCTTTAGTTTTGTCGACATTTGGTACAAGTTTGAGATGGACCAAGTCTGACTGGATGATGTCAAAAGCGGATTGCAAAAGCTGGAAAACCTTAGCAACTGTTTTAGCTCGACAATAAACAACAGTATCATCAGCATAGGATGCATGTAAGGATGCATCAGGGATGATCTGACCTACATTACCTATGTAGATTGTGAAGAGGGTGGGTCCTAAGTAGAGCTGTCATTTCTATCCCAAGCCCTAAGCTCGGCCCAACCCGACCTGAATTCGGGCCGGGCCATGATAATGTGCTGGATGGGCGGGCCAGATCGGTGTTTGACTTTTAATTAGGTCAGGATCAGCCGCGATCCAAATTTATGATAACATGGCCTGCCATACAATCACCAGCTGCACACAGTCATTTCACCGCGAGCTGACCAGCCTTGAAAGAGGTAAAAAGTTCAGTTAAGCTTGAGATGGGACGTTCATTCAGCCGCTGCACTCAGCAGACGTGCGCGGCCGATGACCCAAACAGGTGAGATCACAAAGCAGACGTGCCAGAGCAGGGTCCATGTCTGAATAAATCAGAATGCAGCAGAAAAAGGGTTTAAATATTCTTTAACGGCCATGAAAGGACAAACACCTCTCAGCTCCGAATGTTCTGCCCCTTTTATTCAGCTGTGCGTCCCTGACGACAGGTGTATCTCAAAGCAGACTTGTGTCAGAGCAGTCCGCGATCCTCAGTAACAGAAGAATGCAAGTAGAAACGGGGTTTAAATGCTTTTTTAAGGCCATGAAATGACAAACACACCTCAGCTCCGAATCTTCTGCCCCTTTTATTCAGCTGAGCGTCCCTGACCGTTAATAACTAATTAAAAATGTTGGGGGGGGGGGGGTCCGGGTTCGGACCAGTATTTACTGTTAATTCGTCGGGTCGGGTTCGGAAATTATGACTGCGGGCTGGGGTCGGGACAGATTTTTTGGGACCAAATGCAACTCTAGTTCTAAGACTGAACCTTGTGGTACACTATTGTTAACAGTTGGATAACGGGAAGAAACACCATTATGTTGAACATTGCCTCCGATCTGAGAGATAGTTAGGTGAACCAACCAATGGTGTGATCTGAGAAAGCCATTTCTGAGAGCTTATGACATGTCATAGTCCACAGTGTCAAAAGCTTTAGACAGGTCTAAGTAAAGTGCAGAACAATATTACAGATTCTTGATTCTTAGATTCTTCACTTTATTAGATTCTTGAAAATGTATGTTATGTGCTGCTAGTAAGGCGTTTTTATCATTGATCAGTGTTCAAACAGTCTGCGTTCATCAACATTTTTGAGGCACGGAACATCTAAGTATTTATGTTGGAAATGACTCCAGCCTCAAAATCTGAGCCACTGGCCTCCTACTCAAAAGGTTATGGAGAAGGCTGAAGAGCCTAAACAAATGCCCCCCACTGGTGTTCCAAGCCAGTTAAATGGACTGTACTTATATAGCACCTTTCTATCTTATTAAGACACTCAAAGTTCTGTACAATACAATCTGTGCCTCAATTACCCATTCATACAGCACTCTACTAGATCTCTAACAAAGCTAATTGAACAAATCATTCTAAAGAGACTAATCAGAGCTTTATCACAGTCATACACTGATGGACACACATCAGAGGCAATGAGGGGTTCAGTGTCTTGCCCAGGGACACTTCAGCATGTGACTGCTGGTGGAGATGAACCACCAACTCTTGTATTGAAGGACGACTGCTCTAACCACTCAGCCACAGTTAAGCTCCTTTTCCTAGTACCTTTTGGTACTGGTACAGCACGGTTCGGCTCGGTCCGATACACGTTGTGGTTCCATAATGCTTTCAGTACCAGTTCTACTGGGCAGAGTTCAAATTGATTGGCGGTAATGCTGGTGGTAAGACCCTGAAACAAACTTCAGTAAAGGGTGAGAATTTATTTTGAAGTTTCTGGTAAATTAAAAAG